TGGTGATATGCACCTCGAAATGGACCATGCTACTCTCGGGTCAAGTACTTACCAACTATAGTTATGAGCTTAGACACTTAATCCAATAATATGTGCACCATAAAATTTTTGTAATACATAAAACCCAACATCAGTATCACCCCAGAACCAGCATTAAAGCCCAGACCCTTGCTGATTTCCTCATTGAAATCCCAGATACCATCAAAGGAGTACCAATGACAATCTTTGTTGACCCATTAGAGCCTAAGGCCGGCAAGGAACTTTGGAAGTTTTATATTGATGGAGCAACAAGCAAAAAAGGCTCAGGTGCAGGCCTGATCCTACAAAGCCCCAAAGGAAAAGAGATCACCTATGCACTACTGTTCGACTTCCAAGTATTTAACAACAAAACAGAGTATGAGGTGCTCCTGGTAGGACTAAGGATGGCCAAGGAGGTTGTCGCAAAACAACTAGCAGCTCTTAGTGACTCGTTGATTATCACAATCCAAATAAACAGAGTATATCAGGCAAAGGATCCTAGGATGCAAAAATATCTAGATGCGGTCCTAATTTAGCCAGAACGTTCAAAAGTTTTTCAATAAAGCAAATCTCCCAGGGGAAAATGAAAGGGAAGATGCCCACACAAACTGGCCTCCACCTCGTATGATCATCTCACAAAGCAAGTGCTAGTCGAAGTACTCCTGGAAAGGAGTATTGATTACCAAAAAGTCAATACCAAATCAGCTCCCCGGAATGGAAAAAACCATATGTTGAATACTTGCAGCATGGCATGCTTCCGGACAATCCACAGGGATGCGAGAAAAGTCAAAGTCAAGGCATCACATTTTGCGATACGGGACAATCAATTATGCTAAAGGGGATATATAAACCTATGGCTCAAATGCATTTCTAAGAAAGAGGGGAACGCTTTTCTCGAAGAAAGCCATTTTGGGGACACAACAACACATGAAGGCCCTCACACACTTACAGGCAAGATACTTTTCCTAAGAGTATATTGGCTGGATATATACAACGACGATGCAACCTTAACCAAGAAATGCAAGGAATTCCAAGCATTCGCCCCTTTCCAAAATCAAGCAACCATGCCATTGACAAGGATCACTAGCCTTTGGCCTTTCCTCCAATAGGGGATCGATTTAGTGGGACCATTTCCACTGCGCCGGGAGGCATAAAGTTTTTACCGGTAGCCGTGGAGTATTTCACCAAGTGGATAGAGGTGGAACCACTGGCCACTGTCACTAGCAAGCAGATGATAAAGTTCACGATAAATAACATTTTGGCCCACTTTGGAACCCCTAATCCTCATAAGTTATAACGACACTCATTTTGAAGGAAGTTCCTTCAAGGAATGGTGTGAAGACAAGAAAATCCACCGCCGATTCACATCATTAGCACATCCTCAGGCTAACAGACAAAAAGAGATATCCAACAAAACCATAGTCGATGGTTTGAAGAAACGGCTACTCATATCAAAGTCCGCCTGGGTGGATGATTTCCCGACAGTGCTATGGTCCTATCGCACCACATCAAGGTCAAGCACGGGAGACTCTCCCTTCAATCTAACCTATAGGATGGAGGCGGTCCTCCCATTGTAAATAATTGTTGGCTCCTTGCAAATAGAGAGTTTTGAGGAGGTGGCCAACAAAGAAGGGCGACGCCAAGACCTGACATGCTCGACAAAAAATGTGAGGCAGCATAGATGCGCCAAGCAGTGTATAAATCACGGAGCGATAACTATTACAACCTCCAAGTCCGGGCTAAAAACATCAAATTTGGAGAATGGGTACTATGAAAGAACGATTCTAGCCACGTTGAACCATTGGGGAAACTCAGTGTCACGTGGGAAGGACCATGCAAAATCGTAGGAGCACATCAGAATGGTGCCTACATCCTAGAAACTCAAGACGGGTGTGCCATTCCAAGAACGTGGAATGCGCAGAGCATATGCCACTTCTACTCTTAAAACAAGTGTTAAAGGTAGAACCAGTGCTAGCTAATGCAATGTCTGTTAACTTTAATATGTAAATATAATCAACATAAATTACTTTACTATTTTCAGTCATATTATGCTCTAAGCAAAACTAGAGTAAATAGAAAAGGCAATTCAGATGCTCCGTATATCTAAATCTAAGAAACAAAGAGGTTGTGTACATTTACCGTGTGGCAACAAGTACTGATCATCCAACGTCACATGAGAAAAATTATTACACGAATCCAGCTAGGGAGCTTAGATTAAAAGGGATCATAACCTTCCTCCCGAAACATGTTCATCAATTACAGAACATATGCCATGAGTGTAGAAGGGTCATAACCTACCACGAATATAAAAAACAAAGCAAACAAAACTGGGCGAGCCTCAAGATGACGATCTTGGCTACACCCAGGGTCTTTAAGCAGCAGATTAGAACAAATCTCTCAAAGACCAGTTTCAGTAAATCACAAAGAGTTCACTAGTGAGAGAACTCTAACCAGGGGTGTAAACAAACCCTGTGTACATATCATGTAATGGCCAACATAAACCATACACATAGTAACCAAGAGAAAGAGTATGTGCAATACGAAGAAACATCCACACCCATAAAAAAGCAAACATTGTTCAAACAGCTACACTCCGGGACTCAAAAGATGGACATAAAGAGCATCAAAGACAACAAGAAAATATGGAAAATATGGAAAATATGGAAAATATTGTCAAAGGGGGTTACATAAAAAAAAGCAAACACAAAGACTACTTATCAACATGAATGTTGTCATCACCAGAAGGAAATCTTAAACTAGGGACTGATCCCTTGCTTTGAGACTCTTGACAGAGATCACGAAGCCCAGCTATGTCCAGGGCACCCAAGCGAAGATGGCCAGCAAAGTCTGTCTCCGTGAAGGCCACCAAGGTGTCTTCCATCTCTTGAGTCCTGGCCACCACATTCTCCTAAGACTTTGGGTTAATCTCCCCAGTGGATACCTGCTCCTATACAATCTTTTTACCATGTTCCACACCAGCGGTGACACAAGCTTCTTTCACAAGAACCAAGCCCTCGAAGAATTGTCAACTTTCTAAAAACCTATCCACAATCTGGCTTAGTCCGTCGCTAAGGTTCCAAGAAATATCGCTTTCCAGCACTCCCCTTGCAGCGTTCTCAGTCACCAGATCAACCTCTAACTCTGTTGTCTGATTACTTAGACGAACATTCTCCATTGTCAGGATCCCCACACAAGAATTTAGGCCCTCCACCTCTTTCAACAGCCTCGCCGCTTGATCCTCCGAGCTTGTCCTCTCAAGTAACATTGCCTCCCACCCAGCTTCCAAGTTGCTCTTATCAACTTCTAACTTTGCCACTTCGGCCTTCAGTCCTTCGCATTCAATGCTCTTTCTGTCCGAATTGGACTAGAGGGTCTCCATCTCATAGATGCGTTCAACGGCTGAGACTAAATAAGATGACACTTGGGCGGCAACATAACGCAAGCAATCAACTATATGCTCACCAGACAGGATACTTAAGGCCACTACAAGAAAAAGACCCTTTTACGACGCGCAAACTATAACACTCGTTGATTTATGTTACACAAAGTAGAGTAACATTAAAAAAATGTCATCTCTTCAAAAAATTGAAGGATAGAAAACACTCATTATTGCGTGCCCTTAAGTTAGTGTCTAAAAAAAACACGGAGAGCACCTATAATAAAATGCGCGTCGTCTGAGGATGTCGCTTTATATTTTTTAATGGAACGCGCGTTCCATCCTTTAATAGTGGGGAAAAGGGGGAAATGAAATTCTGAAAAAATTAAAAACCCACCTTCCTTTTTTCCTTTCCTTCTTGCCCTAATTATCGACGCTCCTTCCTTCCCCCTCCCGACATTGACTTCCGCCTACTTCTTCCATTGCACTTTGACCATCGTTACTTGCCATTCCCGGTCGTCGACGTCGATCAAGGCAAGCATGCCACCAGTCGACAACCTTCACTCTCTCCTTCTCCTTTTCTCTATAAACCCTAATCTGCCTCGAACACTACCGAATCCCTTTTGTTTATCCTAAAGGAATAACGCAACCTAGCTCGTGTCTCAGATCAAGTAATCCGGCGTGAAGTTAAGAATTGAGGGTCCGCTTCAGGTTTGCATCCTCGCTGACGTGCAAGTATCACATCATCGCTTGTACATTGTTTATTTTGTTTTAGAAATGAATATGTTTACCCCCAAAAATATTGAGCTCGTTCATATGTACATTTCCACTCCATCATCACAACCACGGTGGTCGCAGCCATTGTTCACGCCACCATCAGCTCCCTTCATAGTTTCTAATAAAAATTTTCTCCGATCTTGAAAATCCATCGCAGAACTTCAAAGAACACAAATCATATACGTTTCCGTCTCTGTTTTCTATTGAAGATGTTCTCGTTCTTCATAATTTTCGTGCCAATTTTACAGTCAAACATTGAAGGTTATCATGAAGGCTCCAACTCAATTCCGGTATAATTTCTTGCTTCACTTTCAACTTGGTTTTTAATTGGTTTTGTGACGAAATTACAGTGTCCTTGGTTGTGATTAAAAGGTTGTACATTTGCTAATACCTTCGCTTTTAGATGAGCACCAAGTGCTCGATGAAATTCCCCAACGAGATGTTTATTGATTGGTTTATTTCTTGAACATGTTTGTCCTTTGATTTCTTGATTTTTCTAATATATGGAGCAATTCCTCTATCATGTTAACCTTACTTGTAAGGTATCCCATTTCTTTTTATTGTAATGTTATTCTACAGTATAGGAATGAAAGGAGCCTAGATGAATTGGGTTTAAATATTTATGATACGACTTCTCTGGAATGGCCAAGAGCTCACTTGTTTAGAATTTTTAAACATTGATATTATGTACACAAACCAATTAAAGATCTTGAGCTTACAGGGGTTTCAATTTTCATAGTTTTCATTTTCATGTTATATATATACACATTCCTTTATCTGTTTTGATTCATCTATGACACTTAGACTTAAAGCTTTTTCCTTTTGACAGATGGCTGAATACATAATATCAATATATGGAAGCAAGAAAAGTGAGTGGGACAATTTGGCAAGATGGATTGTAAACAATGAATTATATAGTGAGAATGTTGTCTGGTTGATTCAGGTGATGTATTACTATAATACAATGATACATATACATGATATACTCAATTTCACCAAATCTTTACACTTTAATATCAACTAACATTATAATTTATATGCATACTTTGTGTTGTTCAGCTACCCCAGCTTTACAACATATACAAAGAAATGGGTATTGTGACATCATTTCAGACCATTCTGGATAATGTCTCCCTTCCACTCTTTGAGGTTACAATCAATCCAGATTCACATCCCCAGTTGCATGCATTCTTGAAACAGGTAACACCACTCAAACTTAACATGTCACATAATTTGAATTTGATTTATTTTATTTAATGTGATGTTTTAACAATCTTATAAATACAATACAAGTGGTAGGACTGGATTTGTTGGATGATGAGACCATCCTGTGATTTGGCTTAACTTGCATGAATTTCGTAAGTTCATTTTCTCAATAACTATTTTTTTTTGTTATTGAATAAGATGTTATGGTTTTGTTGTATATGTATTAGGTTATCCAAAGATCATTCACAAAGATCTTATAGTCATAATTATATGTCAGCAACTCAGCATCCAGAAATCTATAAAAGGTAAAAATATCAAAAATGTTATTACAGTGATTTAAATTTCATCTAGTTCATAAGATGGTTTAAAAAGAAAAGGAAAGGGTACTTTGGTCCATGTATTGAATTTTGGTGTACTAGCTGCAAGTTTAAGAGGACTACATGTACTCAAAACTTGGTTATTTGGAGAAGCAAAACTCTTGAAGCGTATTCTTTGTAGAATCTTCATTTTCTTATTAAGAACAAGTTGAATTTGGGGGAGGCCATGCTAATGTCCGTGTCCTTATTTTTTCCATTATAATATAAAATTTTCTATCTAATAAACAATTAACTTCAAATATTTCTTACCTTCTTCCTAGGCTCATGGGAACTCATTCCAGAAGAAGATTTTGCTACTGTTTAGATTTGGGGGAGGCCATGCTTTTACTTCTTCCATGGAAGTTCTATCCCCATTCTGCAAATTCAACCATGATTTCTTAACTCTGATATAAATTATCTGTTAATTGCAGTTCTTAGTTTGCATTGCGTTCATACCTCTACATTCTATTCCATTATATGGTGGGTTGGCCAGCTTCACAGATGTATAATTGGCTCGATGAGGAAAAAGTAATACAATTCAACACTTTCTATAATCATTCCAATTCCATTTATAACCCTGTTAATTTCTACTTCCATTAACATAATCAATCTAATGATTTCTTCATCACATTATAGGTAAGAGTATTATATGCTGTGAGAATCTTTCTTGGCCTTCTTTCTGTCATATCTGAAGCTGCTTTAGTAGTAGCACTTTCTAGAAAGTATGGGAAACGCCTTGCTTGTTACACACTCGCCCTTTTATGCTTAACAAGTGATTGTTTTTTTGCTAGAACAAGTAAGTTCCCAAATGCAAGAATTATCAATCTAATTTCATTTTCATATTAAGTCTTTTTCATAACTTTTACAGGTTTTTTGCCAAGTTCTTTTTCTATGTATGCAATTTCTCTCTCTTCAGCATTGTTTCTTTTTGGGATGCATGTCATGGTTGTTGCTGTTGCAGCAACTGGAGTTATTATTGGTTGGCCATCTTCAGTCCTTGCTTTTCTTCCAGTAACAGTCTACTCTCTTCTTCGAAAATTCAAAAGGGCATTTATATCAGGGGCATTTATGTCAATTACACTTTTGGTACATAATCTTTTATAAAAAAGTAGTTTCTAACTCTCTACTTCGAATTATTACAACTTTTCATTTTTTGCACCTAAGTTTCTCTCTTTCCTTTTTCTCATGACAAGTTTACATTTTACAAGACTTTACCTTGCGTTTCAATAATTACAAAGAGCTCTACATTTAACTGTATAAACATGTAGTAGAATACAAGTTCTAAGATTTCTAACATGACCCGAAATTACCATCAAAATATTAAATCTTTGCAACAAATAAATTAAAAATTGAAACTAACTTTGCATCTAACTATATATACACATGTGTTAAGAGTTCTTGAAAAGTGTTTGTCTTCGATCATGCACGTCATAATGCTGCCATCAAAGTTGACCTTGTAGCCTCACATTTCATCTCTACAACTTTTCCACTACCACGGAAGTATGAATAAACTTGTTGCATATCAATAACAAACCACATACATTGAAATTAAAGAAAAAAGGGGAAGATCATGATCTGATTAGAAGATGAAGATCAATATTTCAAACCTGAATAACCCAGATGCTGATTGATGTTTCAATGAAAAATAGTCCAAATCCAATGAGGTAGATACCATGAAAATGAAGCCGGATGATGAACATATAATGTTGAATAAGTGTTTTCTTTTAAATATTACTACGTACCCCAAAAAAGTATAACCCTGGAATTCCTAATATGATGTAGATAACAACACATAGCCAGATGGTCATTTAGTGTACCTCATTTAGTGAAACTTACCTTCTTTAAAGCAACAATCTTTCTAGTTTCAAGGTCTCGAGCTTTGTACATGCTGTTGTAAGTCCCCTGTATTTTACAATTCCTTTTATAGATTGCATGCCTTCATATAAACCAACCAAAAGCCCTTTATTACATTGTTTCTTATTTGCAGCTGACAGAAGCATTTGGGAAGTTCTATGGAAGCTCAAAACAGGGAACCAGCATTGATAAATCTCGTGTTGGTGTTCATGACAACTGCATCAAGTATATATCACCATTCTTACTTTTTTTTCTAATTTAATTTATTCTTCTTAATTTTAATGTAGTTGCTATCTTATTGTAGGCACACATAGGTTTTCTCTTTGGTAACTCAATTTTACCCATTTGAGGAGATAAATTTGTTATTATTTTTTTGCTTTTTTCCTTTCTGAGTGTGGATATGGAAACTTCATGCACAATTTTATTATAATTATTTTCCAGGTCATATGAATGATTAAATGTCGACACTCGACATGCACCTGAATTCTATATTTTTTGGTGCTTGTAGAGTGTCATGTATTGATTGATTAATGGTTTGGTTGAACACAAGTCACATGATACTTCATGCATAGTTTAGATCATATTAAATTGTTAATGGTTCAGTTTAGAATTCAAGCGATGTCTAATGTTTAATGATCAATTTCACAAGTGATGACCTTACATGTGACAATGCAAATCTTGAAGGTGAATCAGGGTCACGCACAATTCTTGGTAGATAGGTCAAAGGAATTGTCATGGAGCATGTTATTATAATGCTTCACCTATTCAAAATAGCAATTTACTCTCTTTATTTTGTTTATTGTAACATTATATATTGTAAGAAGTAGAATTGTATGACATTAAATTTTATGCAATGGATTGTATTTTTTTATATGGTATTTTATTTCTATTATGAGACATTAAATGCAAATTTAATTTAAAAATTAATAAATATATAAATATATATATTTTTTAAACATTTAAATTTATGATACACAAAAATGTGTGTCATCTTCATTTATGACATGGCCTTTCTTTATAGGGGTTTTAATGATACGCATTGTGTGTCATTAACACGCGCGTCGTAAGGTTACGACACGCGCATGCGTGTCGTCTTCCTTTATGACAGGGCCTTCCTTGATACGCATTGTGTGTCGTAAACGTGCGTCGTAATTGCACATCGTAAATGAGCGTCGTAAATGCGCGTCGTCTCTCTTTATGACAGGGCCTTCCTTGACGCGCATTTGCGCGTCGTCTGAGCCTTTTACGACGTGCAATGAGCGTCGTAAAAGGCTGTTTTTCTAGTAGTGGGCCTCACTCATGACTGGAGGAAATGCGTGCTGACACCATTCAAGAGAAGTGTCATGATCAGAGACAAGATCTTGAGCACTTAATCTCCAGATTAACTTATAAGCATCCAGATGAGAACCTATCAGCAGGGGGTAGTTGCGGTCTTACCATAAGAGGTGGAGGGAAGACCGTGAGGAGGCGAAGACCCATTTTTGTCCCAGATCCTTGGATTGTGGGAACAGGGCTAGATTTATCGGTGTTTCCCTCTCCCGTATGATGGGGCAATTCAATCGCCTCGGTTTGTGCTCCCTCTAATAGTTTCGAAGGACCTTTTATCTGGGGCACGGTTGGAATCCTTAGAACCTCCTAGTAAGAGACTCAAATTATGCTTCTTACGTAAAGGGGGCCCGATTCCAGCTGCCTCAGTTCAACGGCTGGAAGATGCTTCCAAGAGTGTTAAACGCCTCTTAACCCGACAAAGACTCCTCGGGGACTCGGACGGAATAAAATCCTTCTGAGAAGCACCAGTGACGACAACGTCTTGTAGGTCCGGATCCTCATCAGCGTCGGTAACACTGTCAGAACGGGCAGTCGCCACAAGTCCTTGGCCAGAAAAAGGGGGTGAAAGACCCTCCACCAAGTTAACGTCGCAAACCTGAATCTCTCCGTCAAACAAACCCCACAGAGCTTTCTCTAAAGAAACAATCTACTCCACACTTGGTAAAAACAAGAAACAATGTCGATTCAGCAACAGCACCGCTGTGAACATAACTTGCCAATCTTTTCAATATAAAGGGGGGAGAGGAAAAGCAAAAGACATACCCTCTTTCTCAACAAATAATTCAGGCATCTTCCCACGAGCCTTCCAAGCAGCACTCATCCCATCGGTGGCCAAGAAACAATCAAGCCAATCTTCACCGGTGATACTGATCTTCTCCAAGGCATCGACCAGTTCCTTGTCAGTGCTAAACAACACAGGGGAACGGTCGATGTACACCTTAGTCCTCAGGTAACTGAGTACCATGAGATCTTTGTTCACCCATAAGAATTTCTCTTGCTAGTTCTTCTTAGAATTCTTATCGTAGATAAGAGTAGGGACTCCCCAGCGGTGAAAAAGGGTTCGAGTCCCCAACTGAGTGGAGGAGTTAAAGAAGTGCTTGAAAGCAAGAACGGTCGGTAAGCAGACTAGGGAATGGAAAAGTAGTTCAAAGCCGACTATCTTGTTTATAGCGATAGGGGTTAACTCCCTTACTGAAAACCCATATTCCTAGATTATCAAGTTGAAGTAATTGATGGTAGGCAAGCGCAGAACTGCCTCAAACAAGGCAATTGGGATCCCAACTTTTCCCTTAGGAGGACTATACATATAGGCATCAGGCAAGGTAACGAACCCGAATTGGAGCTCGCAAGACTCCCATTCCTCGGTGGTAAGATCTCTTCCTAAAGCGTGGCTAGTAGCTATGGAAAATACGAAGGAAAGGTTTAAAGGGTTTTGTCAAGAACAAGTAAAAGGCAATGAGGAAACGCCACAAGGAACTGGGGTTTTAATATCATCAATGAGGCAACGAACTGTCTTCACGATGAAAACGCCGAACAATGGCGATTTCACCTTGCCAACTGCACAAGCTGTGAATAGCAGTTCGCCACGTATCTATGAGTACACCAGAACAACTCTGCTATGCCACGAACGCAAAGGCCTACTGGTCTAAGGGACTTGTTAACGTTACCTAACGGCCACGTTAAATGTAATAGAGACGCTACTGCCTTGGCTGAGACCCGGTCTTGGACTCAGAGAGCCAAAGCCGGAGCGACAGCTCATTTCTTGTCACAAGGGAAGAACATCCTATGTGATCTCCTCATTCACCCACAACCAATGAGAAAGCTACAAATAGTCCGGGTAACGCCCGTCACCTGGTGGTTAGTTAGTGTTAATAGCTCTCCCAGTAAGAGGAGGCCATGTATCACGCTCATGAGAGACGGTCCCCACGATCTATTAGTAATAGGTATAAAAGGATCTCTTCCGTCTTAAAGGAGGGATCCATCTTCTTTCTCACAAAGATTACCCTAATATTTCCCTCTAACCCTAGACTAACTAGATCATCAGAGCGACATCCCAGGAGAACACTTGGTCGTCTCTAATGGTTTTTCTGTGATTGTGTTCTCAGGAAAGCTCCTAAAGCAGTTACATCATCAAGCATCCAACCTATCTGTGAACTTGTCACAACATCGGGCAAGGCCCATGATATGTTATTATGTGATTATGTGATTATGTGATTATGTCTATGGTATGTGGTATTATGGGGAAACTCACTAAGCTTCGTGCTTACAGTTTTCAGTTTTGGTTTCAGGTACTTCCGGTAGTAAGGTGAGGATCGCGGGATGACTACAGTGCACACACCATTTGTTTAGCTTGCGATGTTTTTACTCTAATATGTTTGACAGATGTTTATGATATTTTGCAAGGTTCTAAATAACGTAAGGCGTCACTTGGCGGCAATGTCAAGCCTCAAGCTTTTTTGAGCCTTGGTGAGCCACATCGTTTGTAAGGCGTGACTTAAGGCGACAATTTTGTATATAATTAATATTTTTATATGTATTTTAAACAATTTTTCTTCTTTATACATTTATATGAGTTAAGGGGGTGTTTGGTAAATCTTGGCGGCATGCACAAGCCTTGGAGTTATGACGAGCTTTTTAGAACTTTGATATTTTGAGATACGTGACTTATGGTTTTTATGTGATGAATTGTTGGACCGTATTTTTGGCATATTTCACATACATACGCCATATATATATATATGATCGGGTAAAGACGCATTTTTAAGTGAAGATTCGTAAGGACACCTTAAAAAATCTAAAAAAAATACAAATCATAAAATCGAGCATAGATCTATGTCCAGAAGAAAAAAAAAAGTTGGAAAAAAAAATTAGATCATTAAAATTGAATCATGGATCATAATAATGCAAAATAAAAAAATTAAAACTGAATCACGGATCAGTTTTAATGATGCAAAAAACAAATTCTAATTTTTTTTCTCTCGGACATAGATATATGCTCGATTTTATGATTTTTATATTTTTAGATTTTTTTCAATTTTTTAAAGATGTTCTCACGAGTTCTCACTTTAAAATGAGTCATCACACCAATATATATATATATATATATATATATATATATATATATATATATATATATATATACACATATATATATATATATATATATATATATATATATATATATATATATATATATATATATATATATATATATAGGTTCCGTTGAGATTAAAAATAAAATAAAGATTTTGAGATTTAACCTCAGCCACGTATTTCACATATGCCGCTATAACCCTCCGGCGTACCGACACGACAGACCTGGTATAATCATAAATGATTATACAGCACCGCCCTTTCCTTTGCTCTCCGCCACCATCCCCACCACCATAACCACAACCACCACTACAACCACCTCTGATACCAGCCGACCCGACCACTATCATATCCGTCACTTATATCACCACCACCTCTGTCATCACCACCTATTATGCCCCCAATTGTCATAATCATATATGATTACTCAATCTGTAAACAGACATATATGTATAATCATTTATGATTAGACATATATGTATAAACATATATGATCATATCTATCTGCCATATAATCATTTATGATTAGGTATACCCCGCTGCTGCCGGTACACTTGAGCGTTAGAGCGGTAAATGAGAATATATGGCTGAGGTTGAATCTCAAGATCTCTACCATTTTTTTAATCTCAAGTGAACCGTCCCCATATATATATATATATATATATATATATATATATATATATATATATATATATATATATATATATATATATATATATATATATATATATATATATATATATATATATAGAGAGAGAGAGAGAGAGAGAGAGAGAGAGAAACTTCATATTAAAATGTATTGTTCTGTTTGGTATTTTGTTGATAAATGTTTGGGTTGTTAGATTCTCAATTATTAATACATGTCTTAATCTAATTTACGTGTTCGCAATTATTAAAAGAAGGCTGTTGCATTTTCAATCAACATACATGTCTTAGATCTAGTTTTAATGTTATATATTACTACAAAAATATAATGCAGCGATATATATTCTTGTTCATGGATATAATTATAAGCAACTATGTTCCAATGGGCTTTTCTTTATAAGATGTCCCATGAAATCAAATTAGTATTTTGATGATTATGTAGTGTGCAGTACACACATATATTGAGATAAATGAATTTATGTATATCCTTAATTTTGTGGATTATAAGTGTGCAGTACATATTTTAAGCAACTCTTTTATCTCGTAATATTTTGGTACCCACAGTTCTTCCACAGGCTCCTCCGTCAACTTTTATATACTTTATTATTATTTTATATCAGGTTAGAAATAGTTATTCTCTTAACAATCTTCTTTTCTCACATAGACGTTATGTCAATTCTTTTTCAATTCTATCTTTCCCAACCTAGATAACATTTCCAACACTCATAATTTTTATTATAAAAGTATTAAAACTTTTACTAAAACGGTAGTTAAAATGGATAAACGCAGGGGTGTAACATGAGTAGTAAAACTAGGGGCCGAAATCAAAACATTAAAAAAAATTATATAAACATCTTTCATTTGGTTTAGCGTTATGACAGTAAAAAAAGTCGACTAATATTAAATACGTTTACAACGTTTATCAAAGGGCAACTCTCCAATTTTTTATGTCTTTAAGTCTTGTACATTTGTCTCTAAAATCTAAACTAATCATTTCAAAAAGTTCCCTTTTAAAATACAAAACCAACGGGCTGTTCAAAAACTCATCTTCCATTTTATTATGTAATCTTGTTTTAATAAGACTCATTACTGAAAATAACCTATTTGTTGTAGCAGTTGAAACCGAAAGACTAAGTATGAAACTAACTACTCGATAAATAACACTAAAATTTGTTACTATTCTAGTCTTTATCAACCGTTGGCACAATTCTGAAATAGATGTCAACTGTTTATAATCTGCATGTTAAACGACATCAACTTTGTAATGTTGAAGTTGAAACTTTAAAAGTACTTTCTCATTGTCATTGAAATCTTGAGGACAAAATTTTTATGCTAATTGACATACATCACCACTTCGAAAAGGCTCATGAGCATTTTTAGGATCTAAAGTTTCTGAAAATTGAAGCAACTCCATTGAGCTATCATTGAATCGATTATCTAACTCCATTATTTGACAATTAGTTGCTTCGCAAAATATATCCACGTGATAATGATGTTCAAGTGTATGATCGCTATGCTCATTATGAGCTCGAGCACCTCTACTAAAATAAGGGGAAGATTGAGAGAAAATCACTCCATCTTTCATCTTTCATTTTTTGCAACAACATTTTATTGGATACAACTAGCCTCAATGAATTACAAATATCTTGAGTTTGTCTTTGTAGAGCTTGACAAAGTAAATCAGTGATCTCCATTATTTCTTTCTCGAGATACAAAATAACAATGAACTCAATGTAGTAATAGTCTCATATGTTGAATCTGCATCTCATTTGATTGAACTAGTTACCTCCTCAATAATTTTAACTAAAACCTCACAAGTTGGAGTAAACATCTTGATCAAGCTCGAAACTAAGGTGAGAACTCCATCCAGTATCCCAAACTCGTTGTAATGTACCAATCTGATTAAGACCTCTACCTGTCTCTAACTCTTCAATAGAAATAAAATATGCATTTTGCTCGGCTTGTGCATCTCTCAGTTGGTCGGTACGCTTGGATAAAGCACTAACAACATTGATAACAAAAGATAACGAAGTAAAAAAAATTCTTAATGCAATAAATCCTTGTGAGGCAGCCACTAATGCTAATTGCAATCGATGAGCAAAGCAATGGACATAATATGCATATGGACAATCATTATTAATCAATGCTTGCAAACCTTTGAAATGGGCACGCATATTGTTTGCACCATCATACCCTTGCCCACGAATTGACTTGAAATCAAGATTGTAATATGAAAACACATAATATATTGTGTAGGTACATGAACTAGCCCAAAACACACTCCATAACAACTCCATCTTTATTTATAAATCTCAAAACAATGGACATTTGTTCTTTGTTAGATTCATCACGTGCTTCATCGACAATTAAACAAAACTTTCCACCATCAATCCCCTCACAAATCATCTATTTCACCGTACTTGAGGTAAGGTTTAAAATCTCTTTTTGAATTAACGGTGATGTGTATAATGCATCACTACTAGAAAACAATCCTTTAATGACACACGAACAATGACACACACTAATTCACGATATGCATTTTTTGTGTGTCGTAAAAATAATATCAGTTTTCTAAAATTTGAAGGATAAAGGGCACGCATTTTTTGCGTGCCCTAAAATTAGTGTCAAAAAAAAACACGGAGGGTGTAAATCATAAATTGTGTGTCGTGTTAGCATGTTGTTTTATATTTTTTCCATATACGCGCGTTCTTTTCTTTAGCAGCTAACAGGGGGGGGGGGGGGGACTGAAATTCCAAAAGTTCGAAATCTCACGATGTTCTCCTCTACCTTCTTTCCATCGTTCTTCTATCTCTCACACTCAAATACCAAAAAACAACCTAATATCACCATTACTCCTCTTTTCTCCCAAAACAACACCCACCATCACCAAATCGCTGATCTCCCACCATGTCTCCTACCGATGTCTCCACCCATTCTCTGTCCTCGCTCTACTTCTCCCAGTGAAATATGCAAAACCCGTCAATCATAGAACCACAACCGCTTCTCCTTTCTCCCACACCAGTCGGCAAAAATTAAGGATTCTCGTGCATAGCAATCTATACTATTTCTGGAACTAAGGTTCCGGTTTTTAGTGAAATCAAATGGTTTTTGGTCACCAGGCCATGAAATTGAAATCAAAGGGGTAGGGTTTCGTTTCGTATACACATTGTATAACGATACATTTCACAGACCCTTTATCTGCTTCTCTTGATCGTTGGCTCCTCAAACGACGAGTCCTCCTTGCCTGCCTTTGTTAGCCATCATCTCCTTGTGAAGCTACCACCGCCCGGAGACTACCACACCTAGGCATGGAAATTTTACCTGACCAATTGGGGAACCCGGTTGACCGACCCCAATCGGGGATGGGTGTTTCTCGCAAAACCGGTTAACGGGTATGGGGTCGAGGATTCCCGTATAGAAAAAATTGGGGATGGGGTCGAGGCCGGGTATCCTATTCCCCAACCCTCCCCGTCATTCACATATATACATTGATTATTAATTTAATTACTATTATTCGTTTAAGATTATATGTATTAGTTTATTATGAATATTAACTATTTTAAGTAGGCCCAATTAACTGACCCAATTTCAATTTGGCAGACCACATTCCACATATAGGTACAACATAAGAAATTCATTCGGTTCAGGTATGTCGTTCGATTATATTAGTTTCTTACAAGGTAATGAATAAATTTGTATTCCACATACACGTACAACATAAGAAATTCATTGTATGTCGTTCGATTATATTAGTTTCTTACAAGTTAGTGAATAAATTCGTAGACCTATCAATAAATGCATGTTTTTTTTGTTTTTTTTTTTTTTTTGTATATTGACCCTACAAAATACTCAGATGCATTGGATTGTTTTTTTGTTTATACAAGACATGTTTATCTTTGTTTTTTTATACTTCTCATTGTATATGTGTCCATAGAATATTCATTCAGCTTTTTTTTTTTTTTTGAGTCTCTAATAGATCTTAGTGACAACTTACAAAGTGTTACGATTTCTTGTTGTCGTTTTTGATGGCTAATTTAGAAAATAATAAACAACTCGCCATGACCGATGAAAATGAAGATGATAAAGAACCAAAGCTTGTAGAAAATGATACGGCCACTGATTATTCCAAAAAAAAAAAAAAGTTGAAATCCGTTGTGTGGAACAATTTTGATCCGATTTATGTTGATGGTATTCATAGATGGGCGAAGTACAAACGCTGCAATAAACAACTAACCGGTAGATCAAATGATGGAACAACACATTTAAAAGATCATTACAGGATATACCCTAGGAAAAATACAAGGGATGTTAGGCAACATATATTAGTTCAAGGGCAAAAAAACTACCGATGATTTATCTTATATGAGTAAATATTCCTTTGATGTTGAAGTATCTAGATAGGAACTAGCAAAGATGATAATAGTTCATGATTATCCGTTCTCCATTGTTGAGCATTATAATTTTCGAAAGTATACAGAAAGTCTTCAACCTTTATTTAAGGTGCATTGTCGTCCTACAATCAATGGTGAAATAATGAAGATATACGAGAGTAAAAAGTTGTATATCTTGAAATGTTTTGAAGAGAACGATAATAGGATTGCTCTCACGTCTGATATGTGGACAACAAGTAACCAAAAGAAAGGTTATATGACAATCACGACACATTATATAAATGGTAAATGGAAGTTACAAAATCTAATTATGAGGTATTCACTCTAATTAATATTATTATTTATATTTTATAGAATTTTGGTTTATAGGAATATGATTTCTTAGCAAGATCTCATATAGTGAATTTAATGTTAATGCCAGATTTCAAATACTTATGGTAGTAATGATTGTGAACCTTATTTTAATGAATTTTTGTGATGTTTATTTGTTAGATTATTATGTAAAAGAAGTCCAAAATACCAATTAAATTTTCAATAATTTTTATAATATAACGATTTATATAAGAAAAAACAAGTGCCCTCATGTTGTAGAAGTTAATCCTTTATCATAGCTTTTAATATTTTATTAAAAATAAAATAGTCAAAAGGATCTTGCTCAACAAGCTTCATTTGTGTTTTCCATTTTTAATCAAAGCACAAACCCTATAATTTTATTTTTTATTTATATTATATAGAATGTTAGATGAACTTTTGAAGTGTTATACTTTGTTTAATGCAGCTTTCAACATGTGTCAGCTCCACACACTACTTATGCATTTGTCAGAAGCTATGATGAGATGCTTTTTGGAATGGAACATTGACCACAAGTTGTTAACATTAACACTTGACAATTGTTCAACAAATGATGTCATCGTTGAAAAGTTGTTAGGTACACTTACAACTTCATCGCTAATTTTGAAGGGGGTATTATTTTATATGCGATGTTGTGCACAAATAATTAATCTTATTGTGCAAGATGGATTTTCTATGATTGGGAGTGCAATTGAGAATGTTAGGAATAGTGTCTCGTTTTGGACAAGTTCTCCCAAAAGAATACAAGATTTTGGACTTTTTTTCTAGACAAGTAGGTGTTGTTTGCCAAAAGGAGTTACTTCTTGATTGCAAAACAAGGTGGAATTCCATTTATATGATGTTAAGTGTTGTTTTGGAGTATTGAGAAGTTTTTAATCCTTTGAGAAAAAAGGAGAAACATTATGTTTGCTTACCTAGTAAAGATAAATGGAATATGACATTAGATGTTTGTGAAAAGTTGAAATTGTTCTATCATGTGACAGAAAAAAAAAATTGTTACAAAATATCCCACATCAAACATTTTCTTCCCTATAATTTGTGACATGAAACTATCTTTGTTGAGTTGGAAAATATCAGATAATGAAGTTATTAAGTCAATGGCATCAACTATGTTAACCAAATTTAAGAAGTATTGGAATGTAATACATAATGTTATGAGTGTAGCAATTGTCTTAGATCCCAGGTATAAGTTAAAATTGATCAATTATTTCTTTCCAAAGTTATATGGGGAAGGTGGAAGAAGTGAGATTATACAAATACGTGACATAATTACGGAGTTGTTTGAAGAGTATAAAAAGAAACATTATGCCAAATGAGGAGTCTCTTGGAAACGACAATGTGCAACTAACGTCTCAAAGGGAGGGGGTTCTACTTCTATCAAATCAACATGGGAGTTAGATTTCGAGACTATGCTTTCTAAGGATGATGGATTTGAAAAAACTGAGTTGGATGATTATTTAGCTAAGAATTTGTTACCAAATGAGGAGGGTTTTGACATATTGATGTGGTGGAAGTGCAATGGCTCCAAGTTTCCTATATTACAGAAGATTGCTAGAGATGTGTTAGTCATTCCAATTTCTACCATTGCTTCAAAATCAACATTTAGCATGAGCGGGAATAAGGTGACGAAACAACGTAGCCATCTCAATTCGGAAACAGTCGAGACGTTAGTGTGTAGCCAAAGTTGGTTACGGGAGGAAATTCAAGGTAAAATTTTAATAAATATATAAATTGGTATATTATACATGCTTATAAATATTATTTTTTCTGCCTATAAGTTTTATGTGTTTCAGGTAAAAATCAAGCCGAGCCAAAGGTTTTTGATCAAATGGTTGCATATGATGATGATATTGAGTAATTTTTCAAATTAAACACAAGAAACAAAGAGAACTAGAGACTTAAAATTTCTTTTGTACAAGCATGTTTTCATTTTGATGCTTATTAAACTTTATAATTGCCATTTTAATGCTTGTTAAACTTTATGAATGATGTAAACACAATGTAATTATGACCTTTGGTTATGATATTTTAATAATCTTGAAATTTTTTTTTTTGTGTTAATTGATTCTAGTATGTTAGTAGATTGGGGATGGGTCGGGGATGGATCGGGGATAAGCCCAAAATCTAAAGGGGGTGTCTCGCATCCGTTGGGAATGGGGATGGAGAAGGGGACGAGGTTACAAACTCGGGGATGGGGACAGGGATGGTAAAACACGCCCCATTTCCATCCCTAGCCACACCCCACAGCTATAACGGAGACCTTCGACCTCTCATCTACACGTTCATTTTTCTTCCATTTTTCCTAGTTTTGTTCATCTTTGTCATGCTCTCTTTTTTTTTATTAAATGCCAAAACTACTTCCATAAAATACTTGACTTATGTACTGGCATTTGTATGTGATGATAATACTGAGAAAAATGTTTGTACTACTACAAGTAATAAAATTGAGACCCCAGATTCTATCTTTTATTCATTCTGTTTACAAAGTGTTCAATTATTATTACTTATGCGGAGTGCTAAGCAAATGGTAAAATAAGGAGAATTAACTGCTCTAGCATAAGTTGCTTACTCTTATAGGTAGTTCAAGATAATCAAAATAATGAAATATAACTCCCATCTTTATCTATAAACTTCAAATTCCTCATTTGGGTGCTTGTTGCTTTTATAGAATGGAATGGAATGATCCATTCTTCTACCTTGTTCATTGCATAATTTTGTGATTCCTTTCAATCATTACCAAATATACCTTTGTTTCTCTGTATTAAAAGGTATCATGGGTAACAGACCATGGTTTGAAGCCAAGACAGATAAAGAAGGTTGCTATTCTTAGAGGAAGTTTAATGGGGTCAGGGATAACAACAACTTTACTTCTAAGTAGATATCAAGTTATCCTAAAAGAATTCAATCAAATGTTCTTAGAGGGTGAATTAGGCAGAGTCAAAGGTATAATAATATAGTCAACACTTTGTTATCTAAATATTTAAAAAAATCTACTTTTTACAAGTTTTTAACAAATATATTTTATATTCACATCCAATTTATCAAGAAGTGTTAGAAAATGTAAGTAGACTCAAGAAAAGATGAAGAAAATTCTCTATTCTCTCAAAGGCGTTCTTGTTTATGAAAGCTTTAGGGATCACATAACCAATAAATTATTTTAAAAAACTTATACACTAATTGGTATCTCATTTAAATATAGGAGACTACTCATTTGTAGATAAGGTGAAAAGAGTGGTCATGCTCGGTAGGGATTTTTTTTTTTGCACATGCGAATATTGATCTAGTTGAAAAAGAAAATATATAAAAAAATTGAAATTTTTTTCTATAAATTTATTTATTAGAAATTTAAAGCTTCCTGATGTTATTATTATAAGTAATTAAATATACGGGGACCCTGAAGCAGCAGGTATTGTTTTCACTTCTGGTGCAAATATAGATGTTATTGGCATAAACATCACAGCACAAGTTAAAATGTCAGGTTTGACTATGATATGATATCACTTTTTTATAAAGAATAATCAAGTTGCTTTCCAAACTTAGAATTAATGTAGTCATTGTACAACTCATGTATATCTAGGTAGTGTCCATAGGCTTCCTGCAAAGAATGAGTCTCATTATTCATTATAAGAGAAAACAAAGCAAAATATTTTGCAATAAAGTGAATTTTCCAATAATAATGAGGGTTGAATAACCAACAACCGTGGTTGTATGATCTAATGAGAGTGCAATGTAAGAATTCCTCAATTTATTTATAAAATTATATGTAAAGTATGTATGTTTAGATGCTAAAAGAAACATATAAAGTAACTAACCTCTCCCCTGAACTCAAGTTGGGGTTCCTCTTGAAGTAATTCCTCCTAATCATTAGTGGTGTTAATGACACATGTTGATGGATGACGTCTGTGATACTCCTGAATCTGTATAAGAAACTATTTCTTTAAAGATATGCAAACCAAAATATTTTATCCCACATATATCAACTTTAGGAGCTTATTGAGGTCCTATTTTATGTGAATTATCAATAAAGATCCTATAAACTACAATAAACAAGCTGAAACACTGACCTCTTTCAAGCGGTCATAAAATGCACTAAAAACATTAGTCCCATATGTAGTTTGTCCACCAAGGGCTGCGATTTCATCCTTCCTAGCATTGTCTTTGTCTTCATTTACTTTTTTAAATCTAATAAGATGCTCCTTATTGACTGATTTTCCTAAATTATCCTTATCTCAAATAGGTGCTTAAGGTAGATACATAGCAGGTTCCACTTTAATTTGTTTTTAATTTAATGGGTCTGTCTTTTTTATTCATTATTATTCTTATAATTTGCTTCTATACTTTTTATTTATGTTTGATGTAGCTTAGTGAAACAAAAAAGAATCGAGCAAGAGCTTGAAAAAGCTAAAGCTGATGTTAATGAAAAAGCAAAGTGAGCTAAATGCAACCCCTTACACAATGAAAGATAACATTTTCACTTTTGCAGTTTATGTCTTTGAAAGATGAACATAGTCAAGCATAAAGTGAGCTAAATACAACCTGTATGTAACAGCCCAAAAATTCAGATAAAGCTTTGTTTTTAAATTCATTCAATTCATTTGGTACTAATACCAAAATAGTCAACAGAGTGTCATAATCAAATGGTATCAGAATACAAATCCCCAAAATCTCAAAACATGGAAATCATAGGGTGATGTGGTGTGATTAGGTCGGGCCCTTCCCTTTCGAACTGGAAGTACCTAAAACGTAAATTAAAAACTGTAATCACAAAGCTTAATGAGTTCCCCCAAAATACCACATACTAAACAAACATATTGTCAAGCATATATGGGTGCTTGCCTACCCCTTCGGTCTATTTCAACCGGGTACTATCAAGCATATCTGGGTGCTTGCCTACCCCTTCGGTCTATTTCAATAGGATACTATCAAGCATATATGGGTGCTTGGAATCCCCTTCGGTCTATTTCAACCGGATACCGGGTCTATTTCATCCTTTACTATTACCACAAAATATCATAACAAGAATTACACAGTCATCAAGAAAATAAAGGCATATATGTCAATTGTCACAAAGGAAATCATCACACTGCATCAAAAACTAGTGGGGCGGAATTGGTGCCTTCGACCCATAGATACTGCGAAGGAAGAATTACCTCAGACTGAAGATATCAAATCGCACTCGGTGGATGACTCGTGAAATTCTCTTCCTAATGCACAAACATAAAATCCTAATTAGGAATTAGACCACAATCTAACTCAAAAGTCCAAAACCCTAATTTTTTACCTAATGCAAAAGGGCTCCTTTACCCTTGCCCCATTCGGCTTCCATCCTTCCAAGGCTTAAATCTATACAAAGTCCAAAAAGGCATCCAAGCCCAACTATAAGGCCTCTAAATCCCAATATGGCCTTAGAACCCCCCCCCCCCCTCCAAACATGGCCTAAGGCCTAAAAGTTACATGCTCCAATCAGTTGGGCCCAAGGCCCAAATTAAACAAGTCCATACCCCAACACTAACAAGCCTAAAAACCATTTAAGCCAACAAACCATATACATGCGACGTACTTGGCTTGTAAGCCTAGCATATGCTAGTGTAGATCCTGAGTCGGGATGTTGGCCCAGTACGTGCAGCGTACACTAGAGTATGCATCATGTATTGGTCTGCCAACCCAAATATACTTCAATGATTTAATCCATTAAGCCCTAAGGTCTAAAACTTATATCCAAGTTCATATTCATGTCTTAAGCCATACAGTTGAAAACTTTATGCTTTTTCATGCATGGATGGGGCTTAAACCATGAATTAAGTCTATAAGCACACTTGGATGGTTACTAACACTTGTATGGTTGAGGCTTAACCATCAAGATATGATTTTTAAGACACAAAACACTTCAAAGAGTCCAAAAGGACATCTAATATGGTCTGGAGTTGCTCATACTCGAAGAGCCAAAACTATGGGACCAAAAGACACCAATTTCTACCCTAAACCTAGATCTAAGCTTGTAATGATCAAGGTTCAAAATTTATACCTTAAATGGGATAGAAAAGGTTCAAACTTGTGGATCTACAAGCTCTTTCTTCTCATTTTCTTCTTCCCAAACCTTCTTCTACTTCAAAACCAAGAAATATCACCAAAATACCCAAGGTAAGCTCAAGGATGCACTCACGAAAGCTAGGGTTCGAGATTTGCACTAAAAGAGCAATGGATGCTGAAAGGGTAAAGATCTTCAGGGAATTAAGGAATTTAAATAGGGTGCAAAACCTTAAAATAAGGGTTTTCCTCTGACTTGATTACCCCCACCGTACGCATGGGTACACCCAACGTACCTTGAGGATCCCCCGACAACACGTATGCAGTGAGTACGCCGTGCGTACATAACGTACGCCCAGTGTACTCACAAACCTTCCACCACCTTTAGATTGAGTTTAAGAATATTAAATTATTATCTTCCTACCTGGAAACTCGGGCGCCAAAATTCTCCCCCACTTGATTCAGACATCATCCTCGAAGTCCACTGTCGGAAATAACTCAGGGTAATGCTCCCTCATATCGTCATCCAGCTCCCATGTCCATTTTGAACCCTTGCGGTGCTTCCCATTTCGTAACATCTCAAAAATTTAGACTCAAAAATTTCATTTTTAAGTTTACCAAATCCACAAACACAAAACATCATTGATTCCAAAACCATGAAAACACAAGAGAGTTATAGTATATAAGCAAACAATTCATAGATAAACATTATCAGAGCATAAGTCCCAAAATCTCTACTGCGAAAAATCTTGTGTGATGCAACGTGATAAAGCCGAACCCTTCCCTTTCGAGCTAGAAGTACCTGAAACACAAATTGAAACAATAAGAATAAAGCTTAGTAAGTTTCCCCCACCATACCACATATAACACAAACATACTGTCAGGCATATCTGGGTGC